ATATTACAGCTAGGCCTTTGTTGCACTCGCTGCAGTTACACATACGGTCGGAAATTCTAATCACCTCTTAAAGCTATACAGTCAGACCATCAGATTGAAAATGTATCAATTCATTAAACATGGTTTACAAACCATGCATAAAACAGTATGGTAAATCCTATAATTGACCAATACTGACGACGTTTCGGCCCGTGTACCTAAGACCTTCTTTAAGATAGGACGTGGGTAGAGTTTCAGAGATTTTTCTAGTTGTCCGCAACGGTTGGGTTGTATGTTTGGAGTCAGACTGCAAACTTTTAATGCGTTCTACTGGCTAAGTGATTTCAGGGCGAGAGTGGCAAAAAACTGATAATGCGGCGGACCTCCTCAGCCAGGGAAGGAAACTCGCGACTGTCAAAGAACAGAATAGTAATCACAATTTCTCCCTGATATATGATTCCTAATCTTAATGATGTACATCCAGTTTAGCTTTGTAGCATGTACTTTTCCTCTGAGTCCCTTTGATGCCGCTTCCCATTTTGGCACCTGAAAGTGAACGTGACGATTGCTTATATACCAATTGCTATACGGATCACCCACGTCTCAATATCATACTTTGCTCGCTGTCATATGCAGAGTCAAGTGTGATAACGAGCAAAAGAAAGAAAGCAAAGTTTGTAACCGTTGCAACTGTCGGTCTCTTTTACACTTCACTCAAGCTGCTATTTCTGGCGCTCTTCTTTTCATGAGTTTAATGGTAGGGGCTATTTCCTTGCGATCTGCTATATTGCCTCATTTTAAGGAAAAAGTGACCATGCGGTATGTGACGCGGGTAGTGGGTAGGCTTCTGTTTTTCTTCTTTCTACAGAGTGGTACTCATTCATCAACATCCGAAGGAAGAACAGCGACTGACTCTCATTACAGCTCGAACCCCGAGTCTCTCCGTTCCTAATCCGACGGCTACCGATTGAGCAACCTCAGCCTAAAGTGTGGAATATGACTCGAAGCTTTAAAATTGTACATTAAAGAATATGCAACGTTCTCCTGTGAGAAATATGAAGCTCATCCACAAAAATTGCGGGAACTTCGATATACTGTAGTTGTTTCATGTAAATAGGTCAGTACGAAACTTGTTGCACCAACTCCAGAATCTTTCGAAGCGCCGGTGCTTAGAACTATCAAACTGAAGGAATGTTCTTAAAAAAATCCGAATGAACATCGTGTTCACATGGCGCTAGTGCACTTGACAGAACTGAATAAAGCGAGGCAAAAAAATCGATAAGATTTCGAACAGCGACCTCGTAACAACTAACCACGGCTACGGCAGTGCCAGTGTGTTCAGATCTGGATATTCTTGTCTATAAGAAGTGCTATTCGCTGATTCATCGGACACAGATTCCGGCAAGGCATCTACCTACGCTTTACGATGGTTATTTCTAACGGATCAACGCAAATCATCATTCAGTTTTGGTCTATAATTAAATAAGACGAAAATTTAACTGCTGCCTGAATGCCAGTCAGTCGGCGCTTCTCTCGTTCAACTTTAATCCTTGCCTTTAAATCAGGAGGAAGACCATTACTTCCGACTTTGAAACTACTGCATTTTTTAGCCTTGCTAAAATCTCCATCATAGAACAAACATAAATGCCTATCCTGCTGTACTGTCGAACCACTTTATTAACTCTGAACTCATACGCTTCAGCGTAGCAGTGGAACAATAAGGTCAACGTTCAAGAATCGCCCACTTAGAAGTCAGGGAACGTAATACAAAGCAGGAAATGACTGCATTAACGTGAAGAGAGAAGGCATGCTGTATCCATTTTGTTCCACTCAATGATGTCTAATTTCAGGAACTAATCCTATTATACTGTTGTAAAATGGATTCCGTTGCACTATTATTAATTAATTAATTTATGCATTGATTTTTAAAGCCCGCTGATCCATTCACAGGACGACGGCAGCTACTTCATGCCTTTAAAATCGTCCCGTGGCCAGCCGGTCAAAATGCCAAAAGAGCATACCCCTTGGACCGGATTTTAAGGCGCTAAATGGGCGTTCTGTACAACCGAGACATCTCGTCCGAGATTTGCACCGACGACAACGTTCCTTTGGCACTACCTCATTAGACATTCAAAATTTTCTTACCCCAAAACCTCATAACACAGCTGTCAGCTGTGAGCAAGGTGGTGATTCAATCAACATAACAATCTGGCAATGCAGATTCAACCTAAAATGGAGTTCTGTGAAGCCTAAATAGCCTTCTATAAACGCATTGGAAGAGAGACGGGGTGCAGTCAGTTCTGAAAAAATTAAGCCAGTATTAGCATATTTTGGTAAATGCCTATGTACTAGGTCAGTCTATGTACTAGGTCACTGTAATGTATGGACCAGATAGGTCTATGTGGTGTATGTACTCTACCCAATGAAATACGTCAATAGCGAACTTAAATGAATAATATATATAGTCTTAAATAAATTTCACCCGTAGGGGCTACATATCGATGGTCCTCGAACCGCACTACGCATCGCACCCTCCAAATCGCTTTCCTCTGTAACGTCTTGCCCTGCAGTATGCTGTGTGATTTCTTCACTGATGACGTTTTCAGCAAAATTCTCGATATTCTTTTTTTCAGTGACTCTTTCCGTAGTAGACAAATAATGCTTGTACTCTTTCATTAATGGCCGTGCTTGGCAGCCGTACAGCATCGCTGGCAACAAGAGTGTATCTACAGGACAGAGTCAAACCAGCAGAACTCTGCTTGTCCTTCCGTTCTTAATAGAGATAAATGGGCGCCATCCTGCTTAAGATTAAAAGTATATCATGGAGTCACATATTCTAACTTCTTGGCCAAAAGTGTTAACATTCAATTTCTTTTATACGCTCTCCAAGAACTGTGAGTTGGGCATTCTCCGAGACGTTTCTACCGCATGTTCTTTAATGTTGGATAAATGGTATTTACTTTGAATATGCAATATATACAAAGAGACCCCGAATTACGCAAAATTTGTGCTACATAACGGTCCACTTAATCGTAACTCTTAGCCACCCCTACTCGTTAATCATATTTTCCATATGTCCATACAGCAATACATTAATATGTTTTAAAGGTTACTTCTGTTAGTTTCATTCATAGGATGCAGATACAAATTGGATTTCAATGTGTAATTATTAATGCAAACCTAAATAATGAAAGAATAAAAAAATATTTAATTTGGACATTCGACCTTCCTTACGAGGAAAGGATCACTTACTTTCTTCTCTTCATACTTTATGAGTGTACTCTACCACAACGCATAATTAGTAATTATTAAAGGGTGCGAATATAAAAACGCGGCACATCGGCGCTCAACAACGAACAAAAAAGACAAAAAGATGCACACATGCATGCACCAGGTGCGCTATCGGCCTTGCGGAAGACTGTTGCTACATGCCGTGCGACTTTTAAAAAAAAAGCACAACTTTTATAACTATACATTTTTTTCATACATCTTTCATGGTAATCTGCATAAGTCCAGATCTATCTGTATACTGAAGTTATCCACATGTATCAATATCAAGTTGCTCGGAAAGGTATACATGAAGAACGAAGAACAGGTGTTTAAAGAGTGTGAAAAGCTATATTACACAACAAACATACGACTGACGTGGACAAGACAAGAAAAACACGAAAGATTCATCGCGCATTCTCTAAAGCAACTTTGTTCCCTCTGTTTGCAGAAAGATGTGATAGCAAAAGATGAAAAGCAAAACTGGCCTTTTGCCACGAGTCTTCTTTCACAGTCGACTGCTAGACAGAAGAGTAAGCTAAACCATTCTTTTCCCTTGGTCATAGACAGTTACTTTTCGTGGTGCCACTGAACGGGGGACGCCTGCGGATCTTTCAAGATGGTTGGTTCCACGTCCATGGCTTTGTTTACGATCTGGCGCATCATCTCGGCTGCATCAAGCTACAGCAGACCCTCCATAAGTCTCATGGATATTCTAATTCAGATAAGGAAACTCCTCCAAAATATATTTGCGCTGCATACGGTAAGTGAGACATTACACCGCGTTTGCAAACGACTGACCTGTACGTCACAAACACATACGCACACACATCGATCGAACACATGTGGCAAGCTACTGCTCTCCAAATTATGAGGCCATACTTCGATGCCCCTAGGAGTACCACTACTTCTATAATCACTTTCACATAACAGACGAGTTATTAACGTACTTGACTCGAGCCGATCGCCGGAAGTCAGCAGCTGTGAGAAACGAATGAACCGTCCACCGTCCCGTCAAACA